ACGGCGCCCAGGTAAAAAAAAAAAATCAACAAGAACCAAGCCTCGCCTGTCGCGTATGAGAGAGAGAGAAAACATGCCTAGCCCATTGCTTTAGCATGAACTCCTTCACACAACTTGCCATAAAAAACATGGCGGACGCCGCTGTCAAATATGGCCATCGCGCAGCAAGGCGAGAGAGGGGCGTACTGTATCTAGTTCTATAGTGTACATCTATGATAACCACACTCTCTTTAAGGACATAATTCTGATTTTCGGTGCATTTTATAAACAGATGTCATACATGCACGCTATCTTCAAACGTTTCAAAGGATCTGGGTTAGCTGACATTCCAGTTGCAGCGAAAGTAGTTGCATCGGGTTCTGTAGACCAAGCTTTGCGAGGGAAACATTACAGAAGGGGCATTAGGTGTATTCTTCTGATGAGAGAAGCTCTAGTCCACACCAGACTGAACAGCATAGTGAACAGCAAATATCTTTCAGACAATGTAAAGGATAATCTAAATGTACTCAAAAATATTTCCAATGAATCGCAAGAAAACCTACTGGAAGCTACAAGGCAACTTGAGGAAGATGTTGAAATAAAGAGAACTAGTCAAGCAAGTATATGCGCTGCCTGGCACAGACATGGGAAAGTTTTGGGTGTCATATTCAGAGATGTCAGACCCTTTGGCTCAAAATGTCCATGCATGCCATGCTCTAGACGCTGAAGAGTATATGACATCTCATTTGACATGTTACCAGGTTTGATTGCTTATGACAACCAGGAATATTTTCTACGGCTCGCAGATTTTTGGGCAATGTTGACGTCACTTCCGGAGGAGCAACTGAATTTTTTCCGTTCACATTTTGCCCAGCCCACGTCAGGTCATCCATACTCCTGTATGTCTCTGGACATGTGGATAGAAATGACCATGAATCTACATTCAAAACTCAAAGAGGGATTGTTAAGTCTTCTTTAGAATGAGAAACAGTTCACTTTCTACTACAAAAAAAGTAAATAATGTGGCGTAGATCAAGAACGCGCTGAATGGAAATCTTAATTGTAAGCACTGAAACAAAACATGTCGAGTGTCAGCCTGCTAGAATGAAAAAAGACAAACGGGCTATTCAGGATTTGTTGGCTACTCTCTAAGATTTCAAAAGTGACATATTTGAAATCTCTTGTTCAATGCTGAGATTCCTGCAGACAGGTGTTGTCGCGTTCACAGAGTTGGTTAAAGACTTCCACAGCGCTCTTCAAGACAGCAAAAAGTCCAGTTACAAACCTTTCTTCAAGGGAAAATCTCCACAAAAATGAAACCCTTGAATGCAAAGATGAAAAGAAACAACCAAAAGTCTTGACGTTGCACATTCGCAGAGAAACAGGTGCCCCAATGGAGCAAACACAAATGGAAAGCTTTGGATTAGAAGAACTATTACAAATTGCTGAAGAATCAGGCAGTATCAACCTCGAAATGTAACTAGAAAACAAGATTACAGAGGCATCTCTTTTCATGTTACACGTTGATGGCTCTATGCACAAGACAGCTAAAAGTCGACTCCTTGAGTTCTTTTCTTTAGAAACTACTCAAGATATAACAAAGGACTTCATCAGCCTTTTTGAAATGGTACTGATTTGTAGACTACCATGAAGTCCAACAATGGAAGATCGAGAATCTAGAAAGAGAGATTGGGATGAATACAGGTAGAGAGATTACTTAAACAGCGTTTGTGGCTTAGTGCTATCAAGACACTCAGAAGCAAGTCAGATTATCCTCATCAATGACAGATATGATCTGCCATCTACAATTAAGGATGATGAACGTGACCGTTGGGCTGCCAAGTATTCACATGGACACAACCAGTACCCAACTCCGGATACCAAATTTCCAGGACCTTCAGAGTTCAACAGCTTTTTGATAAATCAAAAAAATAAAATGAGACCCCAAAAGCTTGTAAAAGACCAACTGAAAACATCTCTAGACTTCTGAAAAAATTATGTAATCGAGGGATAGCAAGCAACAAACTTGGAATATGAGGTGGCAAACACGAATTTTGTTTTTTAACAAACAGAGGCAGATACGATGTTACTGTCAAGTTATGCCATGATACAACGTAGACAGCTTAAAAATCCTCTTGTCACTGACAGTGAGGACACAGGCTGTGTACGTATCGGGGAAGATCCTGGATCAGCTCTTCATCAAATGAAATAATCAATTGTTGCACCATGCTTTCTGAAAATGTTTCCATGCTTATGAAAGCGGCCCATATCATAATTGGTAACGACCACACATCAGGATTTTATGGCCATGAAAAGAAATCTGTTATGAAAAGATTGAAGAGCAATTTGGAAGCATGTGAACTATTACAGCATTTTGGGGAGGGTATTGAAATGGATGAAGATGTAAGAAATGACATGAAAACGTTTGTTTTGACAAAAGTGTTTGGTGCAGATGCTGATGCTATGTGTGGACAAGTTAGGGCAGAAAAATGGTGCAAGCAACAAAAAAAAGTACAATATCACTCCCTCCTGAAGATGACTCATTGAAACATCATTTACAAATGTACAAAGGACAAATTATCTCACCTTCTGCCAACTCAACTTTGACATGCCAATTCACCCTACGCCTATATGTCATAGATGGCAACTGCAGAATGGGCGATGCAAACCAGTTCACCAGTCTTCCAGCGATGCCCAAACAATTGTCAATTTTGGACAGGCCTGACCAGAAAACAGTCTCCCTTGACACCAATGAAGATGAAGACAGAGAGTTTGGAAACTCAACTCATTCAGATGAAGACAAGAGCTAAAGAGGTTTCATCCCTTTATGATTGTTGTTTCTAACAATTGAAAACCATCTTTCAAATGTTTAAACTGCATGTTTCCTTAAATGGTAATGTATTTGTGTGGGTTGAATTACTTCTAAAATTATGCTCAATCCCATTTGTACAGTGAATTCTGAGCTTCAGTATCATAGACCAATTTTATTATTGTCACAGGTTTGTTCCTGGGCCTATATGTAGACATAACTCATATTGTGCCTGCTGTTTGTTTGTAAATATTCGATAGAAGCCACATTTGTTTTTTTGTGGGTTTTCTTTTTGTAAGTGTTTTTTTTTACACCAAAGAAAGAGATTCATGGAAGATCAATACTTGACACAGCCACTGAACTAGCAGAATAACACCATTTTCCATGTAACAGAGAAATGCTGAAACCCTTAAGACCAGAACTCCCCTCAAACACTAACATCAAGAATGCCAACATCAAAACTTCCATCATCATAAAAGAGTGAAAAAGGAATGTGACCCAGTAGAACTGAAGACAACAGCTCTGAAGACAATTGACTCCTACCCTAGTGACTCAATTCATGTTTACACAGACGGGTCAGCCTTCAAGGGAACTATAAACGCAGGCTTTGGGGTAAGAACTGAACATCCTGACAAAACATGTGAAGAGCTATTTGATGCATCCGGTACTTTTTGTACAAATTATGAGGCTGAGCCGTCGCCATAGAAGCAGCAATCCTCCACCTGACCAACATTTTCATAATACATCCAAACAAAGTCAAGAACACTATTATCTTCACAGACGGAAAGTCAGTACTCCAAGCTTTGGAAAACATGAATTTCGAAAGCCCAGCCAGCCTATCTGTGGCTCAAACAATCAACACCTTCATACAGACCTATGCCGTCAACCTGACTCTACAGTGGATACCTGGCCACAACATCCCAGGAAACGACAGAACAGACACCCTTGCCAAGAAGGAAGCATCACAAACACAACCTCACAACCCAGTATCACAACAGACAGCCAAGAACATCATCAAACGCAACACCAGGGAACAGTGGCTGAATGGATGGGCAATGGGCAAAACTGGAAGAACTGTATTTACACACATGACAGCCCCCAACTCAAAAGATGCAATAAATTCCCTGAGTAGAAGAGAACAAGTCATGATCTTTCGCCTGCGAACACAACACATCCCACTAAATTCCTACCTTAATAGGATCCGCAAGGATACCCCACCCGACAGCCCGTTGTGCGACTGCCAGGATGAAACAGAACCACACCACCTCTTTAACTGCCCTGCACTTTGCGACCTGGGTAGTACCTACCTACCTGCCTCCACAGACATCGGAAATACTCTATACAGCGACAAAGCACAGCTGATTAAAACCTGTAAATTCTTTGCCATATCGTCAGACCGGAGGACTAGAACGGCCGCTGGATCGGAAAAGTAAAGTAAGTGTTTTACGGTGCTCGCAATGACAGAAGGTCATATGAGCGCGCGGGACACATTAAACATTTCAGTTTGTAGGAAATTTAGAATTTAGCCCGGGTGGGGGCTGAAGCCTACTCTTATCGATTTTGGATCACCAAGGGATCTTTAATGAGCGCAACTTAAACACGGGACCTCCGAGATTTTTTGCCCTTATCTGAGAAGGCTAGGAGTAGATCTTACCTACCATAATAAGATCAGGGATGTGGCTGAAACACAGCAGTAAGAATGAGTCAAGTAGTAGCAGTAGAAAGGCTACAGAAAGAGTCAGGAGCCCAGAGGAGGGGGCGCAGGAGGTGAGAGGGTTGGGATCAGTAAGAGGAGAGGAAAGCAGACGACACAACATTGTTAGAGAGCAGGAAAGGATATGAAAGGAGATAATTTTAGAGAATAGAATTTACTGTCGTTATCCGGATTCGTACCCAGGACCTATTGAATGAGAGTTGAGAGGCGAACACCTTAACCTCTAGACCACAAGAAAAAATAGAATCTTTTAATAACTGGTTTACTAGATAAACATGCCCCTTTGAGAAAACGCAAAATTTGCCTGTGCCCGAACCATCAATGGTACAAAGATGACAACAGATTGTCAAAACAAGAGAGAAGACTAGCTGAGAAGTGGATAACAACAACATTGGAGGTGCACAGGCAGGCTTACATTAAAGCTAAAAGCAAGACTAATCAGTTTATCAAAGAGTCCAAGGTGAAGCATGCTCAAAATAAAATCAATGACAATAGAAGCAATTCTAAAGAACTTTTTAATATAATTACAGGCCTCTTACATCATGAAACTACAGTCAACCTGCCACCACACAGAGATGCGCAGATGCTGGCAGAGGATTTCTCTGATCACTTCAACAACAAAATTAAAAAGATCAGAGACGAGTTCGGTCAAACTCCAGCTGAATCAATGGTGGCAAATTTAAATTCATCTTTAAATGAATTCCAGCCTGCAACAACAGAGGAAATTTCCAAAATACTTACAACCTCCACCAATAAGACCTGTTTGTTAGATGCCATTCCAGCTTGGCTGATAAAAAACTGTGTTGCAGAAGTTACACCAGCAGTAACTTCTATAGTGAACAGCAGTCTGCAAGAGGCTTATGTCCCACCCATATTTAAGCATGCGCTCGAAACACCACTGCTCAAAAAATCAAACTTAGACAAAAACCTCATTAGCAACTACCGTCCAGTCTCCAATTTCAATTTCCAATCAAAAGTCTTGGAAAGGCTAGTATCATCACGTCTCAAAAAGTATTCATCAGCTGAGGGTCTTGCCGCCAAATGTCAATCAGCCTATAAAAAATTTCACAGCACAGAGACTGCCCTCCTTAGAGTACACAACGACATCATCCGATACACTGATCAAAAACAGTGTACAGCCCTTATTTTGCTTGACCTGAGCGCAGCGTTTGACACCATCGACCAAGACCTTTTATTACAGCGGCTCATAGTATACTTCGGCATCAGTGGATCTGCACTCAAATGACTGGAATCCTATCTCAAAGACCGATCCCAATCAGTTCAACTTACATCTTCTCATGGCAATTCTACACCAGAGGCTGGCTGTGTGAGATCATCGTCAGTTCAGCTTCATTATAGAGTCCCTCAAGGCTCAGTCCTTGGACCAGTGTTATTTATACTCTACACAACTCCATTGTCTGACATTGTTAAGCAACACAAGTTAGAACATTACATGTACGCCGATGACACCCAGCTGCACATACCAATCAACCGGGGAAAAGAAGATCAACAGATTTCAACCTTTCAAAACTGTCTTCAAGATATCAAGGACTGGATGTTTGACAATAAACAAGAGAGAAATAATCTTAATGGGAACAAATCACTTAAGAGCAAATGTACAATTTGAGAGTTTGGATCAAGGCAATGCAACTGCTATGGTGGAAAAATCAAGTGCCATACAAAACCTTTGCTTTTATTTTGACCCTGATTTTTCAAAGAAAACACGTCACCAGAATTTGTCAAACCATGCACTTCCATCTTAGAAACATTGGCAGAATAAGGAAATTTATTGATGAAAATACCACAAAAAATCTTGTTCATGCTTTTATTATAAGTCACCTTGATTATTGTAATACCCTTCTTCTTGGCAGTCCAGATTCTACTCTTGCCAGACTTCAAAAGATTCAAAACAGGGCAGCAAGACTTGCAAGTTTGTAACTTTGAGAAAACTTTCAGACCATGCCCATGATATTTTGAAAACCCTCCACTGGTTGCCAGTGAGAAAGCGCCTAGGTCCAGAAAAATGTTGGGTGAAAGGGCCTTTTCCATCTGTGCCCCAAAACTTTGGAACAATTTGGATTAAGAGGTTAAAATGTCTCTTTCAATTGATCAATTTAAATCAAAGTTGAAGACAATGTTTTTCAGGAAAGTATATTTATAATGCTGGAACTCCATATCTGAAATATGTCAGTTTTTTTGTTTAAAATTTTTTTGAACATTTATGCATGTCGTAGTGGTACTGAGCTTTAGAGCTTTTGTAAGTGCGTGTGTGTGTGTGAGTGTGTGTGTGTGTGTGTGTGTGTGTGTGTGTGTGTGTGTGTGTGTGTGCATGTGTGTGTGTGAGTGTGTTTTGTAAACGCCAACGAGCAGGTTTTGTGGATTCTGGCGCGTTATAAATTCATTTATTATTATTATTATAATATTATTATCATTATTGGGTTCATAAAGTTGTTCAAGACAGGAAATATAAAATAAAACATTACTTAATTTACGTAATTTTCTTAATTAGCCCTTGAAAATGGTAAAACATGTGAGAAACGAACAATGGGAGCCCACGGTCACCAAACTAAGGATTTGTCCTAGCTCAAACTCTATTGCACGCTCCATTTCACCATATTTACTTTAAACATTTACACATACACACCATTTTTCGGTCATTTCGACCATTCAAAAACTCAAACAAAAAAAAACTTTTCTACCTTTCCTTCATAACCTCATTTTCGGTTAATTCTAATCGGACAATCTTCCTAGACCTAAAAAAAATGCAGACCATGGCAATGTCACGCGTTCGGCGATCAAAACGCAGCACAATGCTGCTATAGGTGTGAATCGATAGACTCCATGCAACGCTGCTCTAGGAGTTAAATGGTTAATGATCCCTAGAATTTAAAACATCACAAGCACCAAATCTATGCCTCTCAGGGACAAGAAAGTTCACAAAACCTCACAATCACATGACATGTAGATCTATCAAGCAAAGCAGCACCACAGGTACAAAACAAAGTCCTTTCTCAATTGGAGGAAGACTTTTCATCTTCGTTCACAGCTGGTGGCTTGGACGGTTTCCAGGGTCGTGGCGGTCTCTTCAGCTCTGTACGCAACAGCCACTCACGATAATAATTCAAGAAATTGCGGAATGGAATCCTGAACTGGTCTGACAAGAGGTAATTGTTTTCGCCAGACTTCTCCTGAAATACATTTAAAAAATGATATATACAGGTGCCTGCAAACATTTATTATATGGGAGGAACTGAGCTCATCGTGCTTTTCGATTTTATAGCAGTTGACACTTTCTATTTGTTTGTTTGAGAATAGTGGACCGATATTTTTAAAAAACCCAACGAAACAAACTACTGGAAAACTGCTCCAGGACCAATTAAAATTTGTACCAAATATTCTTCACAGCAATTCGTACAAGACATACATTTCATTTTCTGCCACAACCACCAACAAATTTCCCAAATGATTACCTGAAGACAAAGGTCAAGGAATTTACAAATACAGGAACTAAGACAAGAAGACTGAAGCACAAACTGACTATGGTACTGTCTAAAAACCCATTTCACTTAGGGGGGCGACTTCTATAAATGACTACAAGGATTATGAAGTGCCACCTCAGTGCAATTAAAATCTCTTCTGCGAACATAATTTCTTTATCGTTGTATTGGCTTGGCCAGACGTAGTCCTGCTACTGATAAAATGTGATCAACGCTATCCGTACATCATGTTTTACTATTGAATCCATTCGACATGGGGAACTCTGTGCCACCACTTTCCAAAGAGGAAATTTACTCATTAATCCGATCCGTACGCTTGGCATAGCAGTTTGTCAAAATGATTTTTTGAGAAATACTGAAAGTTTCAAAGAGATCTTCGTACTAGAAGTTATCTAAAATGTGAAGAATACAACCCTGGGGGCACAAAATGACCCCAGGGCGTACAGACAGGGTTCACATGCACAAGGGAAGCCACAAGCCTTGGCTCTCTTTGGTCAGAAGCACACAGAATGAGGTAACTCTAACTAGCAGTAAAACTGTGGTGCCAATGTCACCTTTACGTAAGAGCAAAAAGTACTGTCAGATACAGCAGAAGTTTGAAGACAATAGTTAAAAGCATGCCATTGCTATAGTTTTTTTTCAGAGCATCTGAGCAGTGAAATGACTGGCAAACCATGATTGCTTATGTCCGTTTCAGAGCTGGCACTTCAAGATGATGGTCATGATGATTTATTAGTGCTGGTTCCTACAGGGCCCTGTTTTTCAGTCAGAGATATCGTCTTGTTCCAGGGACCCACCCCACAGACCATCCACTAAACATCATGTCACTTACATTCTTTGACATTATTGTGAGCCTAGTCTCACTAACCAAAAGTCAGAAAGTCAAAAACTACTCACAGCTTCAATAATTTTCCTTTTGGTGTTTGCCAAAGATCTCTCGAGAATGGAGATGATTTCTTTGTTGGGCTTGTGACCCAATTCCTCCATCACTTGCAGCATGCGACGCTTGTAGCTGAATCTTGTACCACTGCTATATATAAAGTGACCCATGACCTCTACACTTGGCTCCAAATTGGCGGCCTAAAAATGGAACAAAGTTGAGAATTTAATAGATGACAAATGATGTAGCCTATCTTGTGAAATGTTTTGGTACATGGGCAGAAAATAAAAAAACAAAAGGGAACTATTAGAAAAATCAATAAGGAAAGGGGATAACAGGCATCAGTGGTTTTGGCTTACATTCTTCAAATTAAATTTTACTTTAAAAAGCATAAGAATCACAAAAGTTTTCAATGCAAGCGATGAAATGGCCAAATAAACTAGGTCACAATATTTATTGAAGGTATACCCTCAAACTAATACCAGAGTTTTTCCTTGATTTTTTTTACTAAGTGTCAGTCACTGTGGATCCCCATCCATTTCACATCCACCAGATGGCCACCCCTTTCCTCCAAATCAATGTCGATAGCACCACAAAATACCCACTCGAACAAACAAACAAACAAACCCCCGTCCTTCACTCTTAAATCCAGATCTAGATCTAAATCTATTCGAATCCTCATCACTGGCACCATCATCGTTTTCAACACCACTGCTATTGTACCTGTAGACCTGACCTATGTCTAGCCGCAAACGATAGACAAGTTTTCATACCCTTGTAATTTCATCTATACACAGTTTAGACCAAGCCTTCTTTCCTGTCAAAATGCTTGTTTCATTAGCCGTTTACTTCATGTTGAAATTTTTTAATTCTGAAAAGCACCTCAGCCCTATTTGCAATCACTGATTCTCTCACTAAAAGTGGCAATTAAGGCTGACAATTTTTGACATACAACACACCCTCTATGAGGTTGTCGATATCTACTATTATAGGGTAAACGGAGGAATAAGGCACAATGAAGTGTTCATGTATTCGCAGTAGACCGGGAATTCCGTCTGATGGGGCTGAAACATTTTTACAATTAATTTCCATGCAGGAAGAAACACTTATCAGTCTTACCACCAGCCACCCACTCAGACTTACAACTCAGGGCATGAAGCAACATATCAAGGATACCTTGCACTGACATAAAGGCAGTCTCGGAAACTGCAAGAGTAACAGACTGAAAAGAAGAGACAGCAGCAGACCATATAAAAGCATCCATCATCCCTTCCAACCAGTTGCCCACACCATCAAACCAAACAAGCAAAATGTTGTTACCTTCCCCTCAAAGGCAGTGAGCATCCATCCCACTTACCCGCATGTCCTCCATGAGCTGAACGGCCTGTTCCTCTGTGCGGCACGACAGGGCTAAGGCAGCGTACGTTCTCATGTTAGGGCTCAGTCTTAGCTTGGACATTATGGGAAGTACTGCCTGCGGATAGCATGTCATACAGATACAGTCATAGTTTAAGTGCCAATAAATTTATACTCATGTGATCCCCCCCCCCCCCAAAAAAAAAAGGCTCACATAAACTCTTACAATATCAGTCCTTCAGGTTGGATACAGTGTAGAAGCTACAAGAGTTCAATAAGTCTACCCTGACAATGAAAGAAGCAAGCTAGAAAGGTGGTATTTGATACTCTCAGTGATTCTCTACCGCCACCTTGTGAATGGACACACTTTTGCCACCTTTGTTGACCTTCAAAAGTCCTTGAATAGGACACATACCATTCCTACACTGCAGATAGAGAATATTCAGCACAAAAGAAATGCTGCAATTTGAGAAGGTTTTTTTAAGATTTGGGAAAAGGAAAAAGTCAGCAGGTGCTTTATCCAGAAAATAGGGTGGGAGTAGGGGAATTTTGTAACCACACTGCTTTAATTGTCTGAGTCAACTTCACGACTCTGAGCTCTGATTCCAAGCACTGTTGTTCAGCATAAGGATTCCTTTTTGTAGCTTCCCTTGTCATTTATTGACCAAATTTGATTATAGTTTCATCAACAATGGCGAATATTAGTCTCAAGTGAGAGTAGGGCTATTTTCTTAGTAGTCTGTTGTGATGATACCCTCACTGTCCCTAAAACAGGACAGCAGAACGTTTTCACTTGAAAGTTGCACCATTGCCTTCTTTGGCCATCAGGATAAAGGAGGTTTTCACTGCATTGAAGAGGATTTTAGTTTGATATCAAAATGATGAACCCATGTTACAACTCAAAAAAAGGTTTGAGTGCCTTCTGAAACCTGATTCTAGTTCAATGTGTTTTTGCAACAGTCAGCTTTTACTTGTTGTTTTTTTATCTGATATCAAAACTCGTTGAACCCAACCTGCTGATATCTTTGGCATGAAAAGATGGTTGTGCATGATCATTGGAGCCAATTTTCATTTCTGTAGCACCTGTTAACTGTTTAACAGGTACTCGTTGATTGTAAAATATCTTCTGGATCTTCTGCCCGGGCCACACAGGGGTAATCGGCAACGAGAGAGCAGACAAGCTGGCTGGAGAAGCAAAAGTGGGAGGGAATTTGACACTGGACACACCAACCGTCCTAACCGTTGTAAGGGAAAATTTGAGGAAGAATAGGGCAGATAGTGGTTCCCACACCTTAGGTAGGTAGATTGAAGGAGAGGGGGATCCAAAGAGGAGAAGGGAAACACAGCCATCTGTGCGGACCAGTCCGATGGATCTCCAACCAGATTATGATGGGGACTATAAGCAGACAGACTCTGGAATGGATCCTGAAGAGGGAAGTGGGGGGGGGGGGGGGGGCAGAGATGGACATGTTCCGACTGTAGTGACCCCAACACTGTGGACAAGGTGTGACAAGGTGTGTAAAGTATCAATTTCTTTATTAGACGCACTTTTCCTCCAGAACAACAATGGTAGGGAGCCTTTCTAGAAGTCGGTCAAGAATGGAGAGATAGCTTGTTTTAAACTTCCTTAACCAATTTTTAACAGTTTCAGAAGAAGAGCTTTCAGCAAGGTAAACACTTAATATATTCTCAAAACTGTCACTGATGATTTTCCTTGCAAATAAAGATTTCATTATGGGGTGGTATTCAAAAGATTCCACTGTTAACATTGTTTCACTGTTAACATTGTTTCCATTTAAAATAAATTCCATTCATCTTCTGGTATTCAAATACTACATTTACTAAAACTAAAAGTACTCTTAAGTTCACATAATTCATCGGATTTTCCAAAAACTCCACATGCATCTTTCCAGAATGGTAAAAATCACATTCAACAAGTTTGAGTGTTGCATGACAATTTCTTCATAGCCTGGGTAAAGGCTTATTGAATGCGCCTTGTAGGCATACATTTTTCTCTCTGCTGACAGCCTTAGCAGGAGACAATAAATAGCAGACAAAAATGTTATCCTAGGCATTATTCCACAATCGCCTAAATTAATTGCTAGGGATTACTAGATATAAGGAGGTCAATCGAATAAAGACACCATTGGGTATCTCACAATACACTTTCATTCAGTTTCATCATTTTCTTCCAAATCTTTAATTTAAAAATAACAAGCACTTAAGGAATAGTTCTGATCTGGGCACTTTCTTTATCTCTAATTTATTTCAAATTTTTAAAAAATGATTTAGGATTTGTGTTTGTGGCACGACACTGACGATATGCAACATTATAATCATACACTCTGGTCATCGACAGACCTGAGATGAGTAGAAAGAGGAACATGATACCTTCACACTTTCCTTCTCATGCCGCATATTCCTCCGCATCATGACATCATTTAGCAAGTCCACATCGGGCCGGACACCCCTACTCTCCATTTGAAGAAGCAGATAAACTTCAGCTGACTCCGTGTTGGGCAGACAGGAAAGAAGTTGAGTGAATGTTTTCACATCAGGATCCGAACCCAACCTGTCCATCTGAGATAGCAGCTCTGGCACCCCACCTAATAATGCCAGTCGTGCTTCTGGCTTGTTCAAATCTCTCAAATCTTTTGGCATGCCAGCAACCAGCGATTTCTCCATGTCTTTCAAACATACTTCTTGAGACAAGAGGGTTGAGAATACAGAGCTAGACAATTCATTGTTTCTAGATTTACTCAAACCTTTTGTCACAGTGACAAAGTGCTCATAGCTGTCGAATGAGCTTGAAGTATCTGCTTCATCCTCCCACCATTCATACACTTTCTCTCCTTCTGCATTTCTCCCAGAATCTGCCTGAGAAAACATCTCTGCAATATCTCTATCAACCTCTGCTGCACAGACATTAATGTAATTCTCAGCATCTTTGAGGTTAGCTGTTCCGTCATCAGCATTAACTCTTCCACCCATTATTTCAAGATGATCCGGAACATGAGTTTCAACATCAGAACCCAAGTGACGAATATCTTCATTTTCTCCTCTTTTTATTCGACCATCAGCATTACTAGTGTGCTCAAAGTCTAAAATTCCAGACCACTCCTGATCAGCTCTTGTAGCAGATTCAAGCTCAAAAGCATTCCGATCTTTACGTAAATATTCCTGTTTAACAATTTCTGATGAATCAGCTGAGTCTCTGACTCTCTGGAATAGTTCAGATTTCTCAGTCAAAAGCCCCATGGCAGGAGACAAAGTCAGGTGACTCAGATCACGACTGGAAATTCCAAGAGCAGCCAGGAACTCAGAGGGTTTCCCGATGCCACAGTCTCTGGCGCTACGAATGAACAGGTTGAAAATCTTTGTATCTGGTGTGATGCCGTATTCTTTCATCTTGAGCCAAACCTGAATCAAAAAGAGAAGGAATGAGAGAGAATTGCTTAAAAAGTGTGTATGTGGGGGAGGGACAGAGGGAAAAGATAAAAGAGAAAGAATTACTCGTAACTCACAGGCCAAAGAGAAAGCTTTTCTTACAAAGGAACGTGAACGAATTTTTCAAACAGAAGTAAAGAGAAATACATAGACAGACACATGGTTGGATTGCAAAAGTGTGTAATGAGTGTGTGAGAGAGTGAATATTTTAGTACAGTGATGAAAAGGTGAGTGAGTGGGTACAGTATATGGCTGTGAGTGAAGGAGTGAGTGTGTGACGGAGAGAAGGAGTGAGAACCAAATGTGCGAGACAGTGGATAAGTGTATGTATCAGAGAATAGACGAGTGAGAGAGGGGAAAAGAGAATTAGTGGGTAAAAGCATAAGGACGAGTTGACACTTAATGAGAGGGTGAGTGGGTGAGCCAAGTCAGAATAAATTCTTGAAAACTTCTAAAAACAATCCAAGTTCAAGTACATTGAGCAATCCACCTCATGACCAAGTATGGTACCAGCAGAGCAAACGGTGTGTGTCCCAGTCATCACTTAATTTTGAGGCAACCTTCGTTTCACAAATCACATGCCAAATATTATGCCCACTCCCTCTTTCAGTAAGATGACTATTACTCCAAAGTGACCACCATTCATACAAATAAAATGTAGCTATCATACAGAGTGTTTATTGTATATGTCTTGTTGTACGGTAAACATCACTGTGATCAGTGGGTTGTTGGAGGACAACATTGGAAGGTCCTACTTCTTTACTCTTCCTCTGTTGTTTATCTGCCAAATCTTGCATTTTTCCCAATCACTAAATGACAAGACATATCGTTTTGATGGGCTTCTCTTTGCTTAGAAAAAAAAATATCATCAAGACGTCAACACACAACATGTTAACCCCATCTATACGCCCTGGAGTCATTTTGTACCCCTGGAGTTGTATTCTTCACATTTTAGAATACTTCTAGTACGAAGATCTCTTGGAAACTTTCAGTATTTTTCAACAAATCATTTTGACAAAACGCTATGCAAAGCGTACGGATCGGATTAACCAGTAAAGTTCCTCTTTGGAAAGTGGTGGCACAGAATTCCCCACGTCAAATGGATATAATAGTAAAACACGACGACACAGATAGGGTTAAGTATGGTATGATAAGCAGACTGTTAAAAAGATAAAGGGCAAAGTTTTCACCTGGGTGCTGAGAGGACTTCATGACATGCAAGATAGGTGTTCAGGACATTCCTAAGCACTTCAGCATTGATTATAATCAACTGTTTAGACATGGAAAAAAAAATGCAATTCACTCATTTTTTAGGATGACATGGGTTTTTGACTGACATCTCATCTTGAGTGAGAAAAGTTTAAATACTTATGTTGTCTCAGAAATACTTCATGCTGAGCCCTATGGCATGCCACAAACTCAGTGCACATATTTCTCAATAGGCAGACATGTGAATAAATAAAATGAAAAAGATATTGACAACACACACACACACAAGAGAGACAGAGAGAGAGAGAGAGAGAGAGAGAGAGAGAGAGAGAGAGACAGAGACAGAGACAGAGAGAGAGACAGAGAGAGAGAGAGACAGAGACAGAGAGAAGAAGGGAAGTAGAGGGTGAGAGAGAAAGAAGAGGGTGA